TTGAATGAAATCGTGATAATGGTTGCTTTTGGGTTTGGAGAAATAGTTTCTCCTAGGAAGGAGGAGATTTCTTCTGACAAAAATGAAAAGTTTTTTTGTTAAACTATAATTAGGAGTAATCGTCTCTATTTCTTTACAATCCTATCATCTATATTTGCTCTTTTCAAGAAACCGAACTCTCTCAAATCTGGCCCTTTACTACTTTTGCATCTGTGTAGTTTCAAGTTTTGAACAATGGAACCATGTCGGTTTGGAGAATAATCAGACCGGCTTCAGATTGGAGATACTTTGGGACACTAGTTAACTACACATGTACGGGTTTGTGTATAATCATAATCCATAAAACATATTCTTATCGGTTGCGAAATCATATATCTTTGTTTCAACATTACAGTTCATTAAAGTTTGAAGAACCATAGAAACACATTCACGAATCACAAATCTCCAAAAGATTCATTTGACAGTTACATTAACTTATGGGGTCTAAAACCCCTCCTCTCTAACTAACTTCCCCATCACCCGTCTCCTACATAAGTCCGATAAAATCTCCAGAAAATAATAAACCAAGCTCGATAGTTGAAGCCGCAAAAGGTGGGATAATGTACCTGGGCTCAGAAATAAAACATCAGGAGAGCTACCCTGTGAATCTGAACACTATGATGCGGCACCACTAAACCGAAGAATTATTGTCTGAACCTGGTGATGGATCTGAGCTTCCGGTCATTGTTGTAGCAGCTACAAGTGAACCAGGAACAGAGAATGATGATGTACCTGGGGGTCTTGGCATTGGTGGGCGTGGGAAAGCCATGCCCATGGGAGGCCTTGGAGCCATATTAGCAAAATTTGCAGCAATTCTGTTTGTTGGTAACGATGCTTTTGAGGACATTGAAGGTGGGACACCGAGTCTAGCTGCAATGATCTGTGCCCTTTCATGGTATAGCCGTTGCCTTGACCTTTCTAACTGCTCTCTTACCCTCATTGTCAAGCTCTCAGCATCGTTGAAGATAGATAGCTTTGCTTCTAGTTTAAGTAACTGCTTAGGCATAAAAGAAAAACCTCTCACTATTATGTTACAACTCTGAACAATAAGGAACCAAAAGGGAATTTAATCTGCATACACCTGAACGATATATTACCTGCTTCTCTATCAATGATCCAGAAAGTTGTCGGATTTGATCTTCTTCTTGCTTTGCAAGGTTCTTTGCCTTTACTGCTGCGGCTGAAATAGCAGAGATGGCTGTGCGCTTAAGCTTCTCAATGTTATGTTTGTCCTTTGTCCCTTCACAAACATCCTTCTCTTTATTTCCTTCTTTACTTGGATTTTCACCTGCAAATCAACATTTAGACAACAAATCAATAAGATATAAAAGATTATCCATTGCAGGCTGTAT